AAGTTAAAGGGGGAAAATGGGGAGAAAGAATGCAATGAGCTCATATATGGTGTAAGTGAACGGTGTTTTTCATAAGTCCCACATCAAAAATTTATTTAAAAACAAAATAATGTAAATGTTATATAATATCATACATAAAACATTATTAGTAAAAGATGACATTTATTTAAAAAATGAAAGAGATAACTAGAAATATCTAAAGCATGAAGCACTTTATGTCTTTAATCTACAAAATGAATTTCATACAAAAAAATACATAATAAAAGGATGCAAAGATTTAAAAAATATGCTCAAAAGATATAAAAAAAACTCATTACAATGTAAGGAAAAAAATCAACAAAATGTAGGTTTAAACAAAAGAGAAGCAAAAGGAAAAAAAAAAGATCACAAAAATTATTATGGGTAAAAAAAAAGAATTGGAAATGTTAAAAAGAGATGACCTGATATATTGCAAAAAGAAAAAAGCTTTAAAAAGTAAGAAAAAAAATTAACGCAAAGAAAAAAGAAAGAAACAGAGAGAAAGAATGAATGGGTTTATATATGATGTAAGTGAATGATGGCTTTCATAAGTCCCAGATCAAATATATTTTTAAAAAAAAATCATGAAAAATTTTTATAATAACGTACATTTTATAAATATACTATAAACTTTATTAGTAAAAGATGACTTTTATTTAAAATGTGAAAAAGACATCTAAAAAAAATGTATTGCATTAAGCATTTTTTGAAGACATATTAAGCTACAAAATGAAGTTTTAAAAAAAAATATACATATATAATGGGAAGTGCAATGATTTAAAAAATATTCTGAAAATAAAAGAAACATTAAAATGTAAGAAAAAATAAACAAAATGCAAATTTAAAAGAAAAAGAAAAAATTAAGTTTAAAAAAGATCATAGAAAAAAGAATAGGAATTGGAAATGCTAAAAGGATGAGTTAATATTTTTCAAAAAGAAAAATCTTTAAAATGTAAGGAGTAAAATTGAGAAAAAGAAAAGGAAAAAAAAAATACAAAGAGAAAGAATACGAGTTTATATATGATGTAAGTGAATAATGGTTTTCATAAGTCCCATATCAAAAATATTTTTTTAAAAAAACAAAATACTGTAAATGTTTTGGAATGTCATACATTAAACACTATTCATAAAAATGAGTTTCATTAAATAATTGGAAAAGATATTATTTAAAATGAGTTTTGTAAAAAAAAGAAGTAAAAAAAATCAAGTTTAAAAAAAGCATAGATAAAAAAATAGGAATTGGAAATGTTAAAAGGATGAGCTATTATTTTTCAAAAAGAAAAAAGATTTAAAATGTAAGGAGAAAAATTAACCTTAAGAAAGGGGGTGGGGGCGAAGCTTTGAATGGTTGTTTTCAAAAGTCCCACGTCAAAAATATTTTTTTAAAAAAAGAAAATTCTGTAAATGTTTTAGAATATCATACATTAAACATTATTCATAAAAGATGACTTTTAAAAAATATATATATCTAGAATCTAGAAATATGTAAAGCATCAAGCTCTTTTTTAAAATATATTTAATATACAAATTGAAGTTTATACAAAAATATATATATAAAAGGAAGTGCAAAGATTTAAAAATGTGCTTAAAATAAAAAAATTATAATGTAAGAAAAAAATCAACAAAATGAACATTAAAAAAATCAAGTTTACAAAAATTATAGATGAAAAAATAGGAATTGGAAATGTTAAAAAGACGAGCTGATATTTTTCAAAAAGAAAAGATTAACAAAAAGAAAAAGAGAAAAAAAAAAACAGAGAAAGAATATAATGAGTTTACATATGGTGTAAGTAAATGGTGGTTTTTATAAATCCCACATCAAAAACATTTTTAGAAAAGAAAATAATGTAAATGTTTTATAATATCACACATTAAACATTATTCATAAAAGATGACTTCTATTTAAAATTTAAAAGATATCCGGAAAATGTAAAGCAGTAAGCACTTTTTAAAGATATATTTAAGCTACAAAATAAGTTTATACAAAAATATGGAAATGCAAAGATTTAAAAGATGTGCTTAAAATAAAAAAATTTAAAATGTAAGAAAAAAATCAACAATATGCACAATTAAAAAAAAGAAGCAAAAAAAAAAAATCGAGAGTTTAAACAAAAATTATAGATAAAGAATAGGTAGTGCAATTGTTAAAAAGATGAGCTGATATTTTTCAAAAAGGAAAAAAAACTTTGAAATGTAAGAAAAAATTAACAAAAAACAAAAGGAAAGAAAAGGGGAAGCTTGCAATGAGTTATTTATGATGTGAATGTATCATGGTTTCCTCAAGTTTTAAAGAAATACTTTAAATGTAGTTGATAATATGATACATTTTGTGAATATGATTAACATTTTTCATAATGGACGACTTTCTTTTGAAAATTGAAAAAATATTAAGTAAAATATAATATTTTAAGCACATCTTAAAGCCATATCTAACAAAAAAATGGATAAATAATAGGAAATACCAAGATTAAAAAGATGTGTTCTTATTTATGAAAAAGCTTTAAAATGGTGGGGAAAATCAACAAAAATTCCATGGAAAAAAAATAGAGAAAGAATGCAATGAATTTATATATGGTGTGAGTGCATGGTAGTTTCCAAAAGTCACACATCAAAAATATTTTTTAAAAAAGGAAAATAAAGTAAATGTTGTATAATATGATACATTTTTATGAATATGTGATTAACATTATTCATAAAAGATTATTTTTATTTAAAAAATTAAGAAAGAGAAAGAATGCAATGAGAAAGAAAAAATTTAAAAAAGTCAGAAAATTATCAACAAAAAAACACATTTAAAAAAAAGAGGAAGCATGTAATAAGTTATATATGCAGTGTGTTCATGGTGGTTTCCCCAACTCCGACATCAAAAATATATTTTTTAAAAGGAAATACTATAAATGTTTGATGATATGATAAAATTTTTATGAATATATGGTTACCCTAATTCTTAAATGATGAATTATACTTAAAAATTTAGGAAAGATATCAACATTATCCATAAAAACATGATACATTTTTATGAATATATAATTAACATTATTCATAAAAGATGACTTTTATTTAAAAATTGAAAAATATATCTAGAAAAGTATGAAGCATTAAGCTCTTTTCAAAGACATATTTAAGCTAAAAAAATGAAGTTTATATGAAAATATACCAAAATAATAGGGAGTACAAAGACTAAAAAGATGTGCTTAAAATAAAAAAAATACTTTAAAATGTAAGGAAAAAATCAACCAAAAAAACACATTAAAAAAAAGAATACAATAAGTTACATATGACTGAGTGTATGTTTCCTCGAGTCCCCCATCAAAAATATAATTTTTTAAAGAAAATAGTATAAATATTTGATAACATGATACAATTTTTATGAGTATATGATTACCATAATTTAAAAATGATGAATTTTATTTAAA